AATTAAAACTCTTAGAACGAATTTAGAATCAAGAAGCAGTATTAGATTTTAAACAATATCTCAACAATTAGTGACTCTTTATCAAATCCAACGGTACGTATGGAAAGGTGAATAAATTTAGGAATCAACTTTGACAAAAATATTCCATTTTTTGTTTAAACTCGTTCAGAAAAGAGAGGTAAAGCGCGGCTTGTGCTTAGTAGGACGTAAATTAGATCAAAAACCCTATTAGTTTTAAACAATATCTCAACAATTTGTGATTTTTTATCAAATCCAATGATACGTATGGAAAGGTGAATAAATTTAGAAGCCATCTTGGACAGAAATATTCCATTTGCGTAAAGGTAAAGCGGAGGTTGTGCTTAGTAGGAAAGAAATTAGATCGAAAATCATATGAAAAAAGCTGAATGACGCGAAAAGTGACGCTTGCTTACCATTTAAAAATTCTCTTCTTTTTGTGATGTTCAGATTCCACAGTGGGCCAGAAATGCAATAAAGCTTAACAAAATAAATAACTACTCGGGGTAATGTCGTAGAAAATTGATGGTTTCGACAAAGTTGATCAACTTTTTCAGATTGGTAGATCTATGTCCAACCAATTCTGCAATGTATATTTTTGGTTTCTTTGCATAAGTTGGTCTTGATATTAAAGGGTGATACGGTCAAAATTTGGTCAATATCAACTTGACGTATTTCTTTCAATTTTGCATTTAAAAAACCTGAACACCCCTCATTTTGAAGGTGTGTGTGTGTGTAGAATGTTGCTCCTATTTTGATTTTGGAATTCACTCTTCAGTTGTCAACATGCCGTCCAAGCAAGAAGAGCAGCGTATCAAAATTTTGCTCACGCATCGCGAAAATCCGAGCTACTCGCACGAAAAGTTGGCAAAATCGCTAAAAGTTGCCAAATCAACCGTTACAAATGTAATTAAAGTGTTTGGGGAACGTTTGTCGACAGCCAGGAAGTCTGGATCGGGGGGAAATCGAAAACCGGAAGCCGCTGAGACGACAAAGAGAGTTGCCGGTAGTTTCAAGCGAAACCCTAACCTCTCTCTCCGAGATGCCGCAAATAAGCTGGGTGTATCGTCTACAACCATGCATCGAGCCAAAAAACGAGCCGGACTATCGACTTACAAGAAGGTAGTGACTCCAAATCGCGATGATAAACAAAATACGACGGCCAAAGCGCGATCCCGGAGGCTGTACACGACGATGCTGACGAAGTTTGACTGCGTGGTAATGGACGACGAAACCTACGTCAAAGCCGACTACAAGCAGCTTCCGGGACAGGAGTTTTATACGGCAAAAGGAAGGGGAAAGGTAGCAGATGTTTTCAAGCACATGAAACTATCAAAGTTCGCAAAGAAATATCTGGTTTGGCAAGCCATCTGTACCTGTGGCTTGAAAAGCAGCATTTTCATAGCTTCCGGGACTGTCAACCAAGAAATTTACGTGAAAGAGTGTTTGAATAAACGTCTGCTGCCTTTCCTGAAGAAACACGGTTGTTCCGTACTGTTTTGGCCGGATTTGGCATCTTGCCATTACGGTAAAAAGGCCATGGATTGGTACGCCGCCAACAACGTGCAGGTGGTTCCCAAGGACAAGAACCCTCCCAACACGCCAGAGCTCCGCCCAATTGAGAAATACTGGGCTATTGTCAAGCGGAACCTAAAGAAGACCAAAAAAACTGCTAAGGGCGAGCAGCAGTTCAAGGCAAACTGGCTTTCTGCGCCGAAGAAGGTGGACAAGGTGGCTGTACAAAATCTGATGGCAGGGGTCAAGCGTAAGGCCCGGCAATTCGGATTTGGAAAAGCGGAAGCCTAACTGAATATTTTTCCTGAATTTTATACTAATTGAACTTGAAAAAGAAATTTAATTTGATTTTTTAAATAAACGATTTCACCGATATACACGCGTTTTCCCTTGACCAAATTTTGACCGTATCACCCTTTACGTTGAAAAAAGTTACTGAAGTTATCGAAACGGTCAGAGCAAATTAATGTCGAGTTAAAGTAAATTTTGTAAAACATCCACAAACTATCTACTTTAAACCCTCGTGTATATTTTTTTTCACTACATCTTTTCCTGCACACTTAATTCAGATCATCGAGGTCGGTAGAGTTTAACTGCGTGTTTGAACAGCAGAACAAGTCGGTAAAATTTCCAAATGACCGTTACACTGAGAATTCAATAAGATTGACAACGTAGACGAACCAGCCCAAGGCTGAAAGTCTCATTAATAAAGATATAAAAATTAAGATTGACAAGGCAATCAGAATCGTGCTCTCTTGCCGTGCAGATCTATTTGCTTTTTGCTGAAGAAAGTGTCACTGCTACCTATATCTTGTTTAACAGATTTAACAAGTTTTCGTCAAAAAACGATGTTTATTGACATTAACATAAATATAGGAGAAAGTGAGACAGTATGGAGAGTATGGATAATCATTGATGATACCAAATTCAGTGAAAAATTCGAATGATATTTAATCAAACTGATAGTTTGAAGCCCCATGTACTTTTTGTTTCATATTGAACATTAAAAGATAACTGTTGAATCTTATGAAATAAATCTTAAAACATTTTGGACATTTAGAGCTAGTCTTTTCGAACATTCGGCACTAGGAATTTTTTTTTAGACTTAATTTCAAATGGATAGTTCAAGTAGGCTTTATAACATTAAGCCTGCAACAGATTTTTTGAAATTTATTTTCAATAAGTTGATTTTTAAGCAGGTGGCCACATTGTCCCATTGGAGTAATTGCCCTACTTTCCCCTATGTAGGTATTTTGCACGATTACACTTTCATTTCTCCTACATTAAAACATGACCTTTATTGCTTTCTTTCCCTAACTGAAGATATCAACAAAATTATATTATATGATTATATATTTGGAAAAAATTGGTGGAAACTTTTTTATTAAAGGATTAAAAGGGGGACTCGTGCAAAAATGTGCTATTAAATGAATAAAGGTTGAACACGAAAAAATCCGGATACGAAAATCTTGTTGGAGCTTAAAAATGCATTTTGTTTTTCAATGTTCAATGTAGTATTAAGTATATATAAGTAGGTATTATGCTTATTGTAAGACCATTGCACAGTGGTTTCTGGCTGGCCAAAACCTCAAAAATTAAAGTTAATATTTTTTTGTCAATATTTTTTTTATCATTTTTACATGTTAAGAGTATCTTAAATTGAACGATTTGTGCAGTTCTGTTCATTATTCATTTTTTATGGTTTTTATAGTGTAGCGATATCATATTTTTTTACTTGTTACTGTTTTGCTCAAATATAGCAAAAACTATTGTGTTTATCAACTTGGTTGCTTGAGAAAAAATGTTCCTCGGCTTATTTCACGTTAAATGGATGGTAAAAGAGTGTTTGCACTGTTTTTAGTGACAGTAATAAAAAAAAATAGCAAAAATATACCTTTTTCAAAGCACACCAACACACACACACATACACACACGCACCATATATCTATCTCTTATGGTTCATGAGTTATGATTTTTTTTTTAAACAAGCAGGTTAGGGTGGCCCCTAGACAATCGGCATTCTTTAAATATCTATATCTTTAACGTATAGTTCATTTCTCGTGAAATTTTTATACTAGACGCTTTAAGAACTTTTTATGACGCATATTTTTGCTAACTTGTTATCTCTTTTATTTGAAAATGTATGACTAGTTTTGTTGAAAAATATAACTTTTTTTTAATTAAATTAAATGCTTAAATCAGAAAAGGCTCTTGCAGTTTTTTTTACCAAAAATTAAGAAAAAACTATTTTTCTAATGAAGTTAAATGTTTGAAAATCGGTTTGTTTCATTTTGAGATATTGACAATTGAAAAGAGCTATTTTTTCGAAGATAATAGCCTTTAACTTTCTAATCAAAAAAGCTAGTAACCTAGTTGCTTGAGCAAAAATATGCGTCATCAAAAGTTCTAAATGTAATCAGAACAATGTTTTAACGAGAAATTAACGCATGAAAAGATGTTCAAAGAAAACCGATTTACGTTACGGGATGTAAGATCTACCACCGATTCCTAGTTTTGACAACTTCAAAACAAGAAACAGGATTATCGCTGTCATTTCTTAATGTTGTTGCTTGGAATCCAATTTTGACTGACAAAGGGGCGCGCCTTTGGAGGGTGTTCCAACACTAGAGTATAATTATCGGGACCTTTCAATTAGAATCGATTCCTAGCGATGAAGGCAAGAATGACAACTGTATCAAAACCGAATACTTCGTCATTTCTCAAAATGATGGAGTAATACGACATGCACTAAACTAAGGACACGGGATATACTGCAATAGATCAAATTACTGGTCGCAGCGGTGTTAGGTCCCGAACAGAAGAGAAAAAAAAGAACGCCCTCAGATACCACGATCAACTAATTGAGTGTTTTGAATGGTTTAAAGCGCATTTTTAGCGAATGAAACGTGCAATTGAGAAGCTTCCAGGATGTACAGCTTCGTTCAAATTCCTCGAAATAGCTATCGTTGGGGAAAAAAATCTGAATGTAGATACTCATTTCAAAGCAAATTTCAAACAAAACGGCTACTGATAATTATGCATCTTATGCAACAGTCAAACAAAATACTGCATTATCTTTCAACAGTTTGCAATTCATGCCATTCTCATGACTCAAAGCTATGTGCCCAGGAGGGACCAATTTGCCTAGTAGTCCCGGTACTTTTAGTAGTAGTAGTATAAGTAGCGAATGATTAAAATGCTGACCGGTAATTTGAGGCTCATTATGTTAGCTGATAGTCTTTTTCGACCACGAACCACCACGCTTCAACGGTTGCATGTAATCGGTTTAACTAGTAACATACATTCGTTCGAATCATGTCTGCCCGTTCGTATGTTCACACCACGGGCCGGGCACTCCACCTATCAAAGGCAAAGAGAGCAGAGGCAAAAGGCCGAAAACATTCGAATCCATATCAAATAACGAAAAATGTAATATTATAAAGCATTCGGAAGCCGCAGGAAATCTGTTAGTGTTATTCGGTCGTCGGACGTGCAAACATCACTCATTGATATACCTTTTGCTTGAGCTTATTCAACACAGTTCCTTTGAAGTTAAACTAATCGGATTTTAAAATACATTGGAAGCAACCGTCATCGTTAGTGCACAAAAGCAGATGTCTTCAGCGGATACCCAAGTCCTGAACGGTGTTGTCGTGGACGTTCACAAGACCGATGAAGTCAAGACGGCATCGCTAGTGAACGGCCAGCAAAGCGCCAACTTCTTCCAGTTGGCTATGACTGCATTGCGTCTCACGGCGGCGACAACGACGACGATCCCCAGCAACGATCGGAACAACAATAATCTCCGCTTGAGAAAACAAATTACGCTCGACGAGGTGGCTTATCATGACACCATGAACGACTGCTGGATTGTCCTCTACGATAGGGTATACGACATTACCAACTTTTTGGAGCTGGTAAGTGAGCGGCGTACGCACCTAGTGATCTATTTTTGAGTGCAGAACGTGTGCATTATGCGGAAGAAATTTGTGAACCACCAACGAACAAGGCCAATGGATAGTAGATGTGCTGACGTTGATCTCACGTTTACGGTGGATGCCAGACAGGCGAACAAACAGTTGGGAAAATATTTACAAAGTGCAGCGTATGTGCTGTGCATGCGAGTGGTGGATAGTGTAAAAAGAATTGAATTTTGCATCATTTTCGAGTAAGTGGAGAGAACGAATTGATAATATTTGGGATAGTTGTTTGACAACGAACCAGTTCTGGGTAACGTGAATCTCAGTTTAGAATTGCGCTGCGGAATCCAGTTCATTCTGAACAGGAGAGATTATCGCGCATTTGTTTGGAAAACATCGCTGTTTGAACATCAGATTCCTGCTTCGGCTTGAAGAGACAGCCGAAACAGAGTTTTATTTAGCTACTCAAAGACTATAACAATTCAACAGTTTAACAAAAATAAATACAAACAGTAAACTAAATTAAACATTCGCCTACTGAAAGGGACTTTTGTTTTATAATAAAATTTACATCTCGACATAGACACATTTTGACCACATGCAAGATGAGATGCGGGGTAGTCAAAGAACAGATGAAAAAAGCTGTGATGTATAATATTAATCATGAAGTTCCTTTTAGTCAGTTAAGTACAAGATTCAACAAACAATTAAATAACAAAGACTAACACTACACAGTTCGAAAAAGTAGTGTAAATTTCTGTCACTTTGATGAACTGAAATGGAGCGTCGCATATCATACAAATTCACATTTCAGATCGTGTTAATTTATGAGTCATGTAATGAAATATTGTATGCAACCATCCATATTTGTAAGCAATATTTCTTGCAAGTTGCTAGTTTACGTGAAAAGGATGTTTACATGCTTCAATTTTAGCATGCATGGATATTTACATTAAAATTCATAATTTTTTGGTGTGTAGATAAAAAACCGTTTTTGAAGATTCAAACTGATTTTATTGGCTGCTTATGGATCGTTGTTGTTTGGATGCAAATGTATGCAAGTTTGGCAACTATTGTTCATATTTAATAGCAACATCCCTCCCATGGATTAAACAGAATAGGACCGAAATCATAACTGCAGTATGTTACTGTTAGCAATTATTTTGACGTTCTGGGATGTTATTTTAGTTAACGTCAGATTCTGACCACACAGAAAAAAAAATCTGGATTTTTCCACTCGTTTAAATTTACGCTCAAGCTCGCATGTTTTACAAACTTTGCATACAACACGACTCGTTTATGTTATACGCCAAATCTACCGTACACCGTAGGTACGAAGTACGAGGAAGTGCCGGAATACCATAAATCAAATTACGAAGAAGCCAAACGTAGACTACACAGCTAAAAAAAAGTAGTGTAAATTTCCGTTACTATGATGCACATAAATGGAGCGTCATAAATCATACAAATTTACATTATAAATCGTGTAAATTTATGAGACATGTCATGCAATATTCCATATATTGTATGCAACTTTACACCTTTGTTTGCAACATTTCTTGCAAGCTGCTAGTTTACGTGAAAAGGAAGTTTACATGCATGAATGTTTGTATGCATGGATGTTTACATCACCAGTAAAATTCAGATTTTTTTAATGTGTATGTACAATAAATTGGCAAAATTTAATAAGTATTGAAGGAAATGTCGATACTGAAGTAGAAAAATTTCACTCAATTCTTCAAAGCCTAATTTTAGTAACTGTACTATCACTATCAAAAAAAAGAAGACGAACACAAAACAATAAAGTACCCGCATGGTTCAATCCACAACTGAAAAATTTGAAGAATAAAAAACAGAAAGCTCATACAAAAAAGAAAAAACTGAAACCAATTTGCGAAACTATGCAACCAATTAAATACAGCCATCAACTCTGCATATGAGGACTATAACCGCAAAGTCGAAAATGAAGTCAAATCATGTCCTAAGAACTTTTTTAATTATGTAAACATGAAATTAAAAAGCAGCAATTTTCCTTCGCGAATGAATTTGGATGCAAATGTAGGTGAGAATTCTTCTGACATTTGCAATCTCTTTGCAAATTTCTTCCAAGAAGTATACACCACATTTTCCGAAGAAGATCGTGATCGCGATTTCTTTGCATTCATTCCTGAAATTTCTAAAAACATCTCTGTCAACCAACTTTCTCAACATGAATTCGCGTCGCGTCGAAAGGGTCTGGACCTGACGGCATCGCACCCATATTTTTGAAAAACCTTTCTGAAGAACTCGCATTTCCTCTAGAGCGTCTTTTCAACATGTCTCTGAAAAATGGAAAATTCCCTGAAATTTGGAAATCATCTTATTTGGTACCTATTTTCGAATCAGGTGCAAAACCAGACATTCGAAATTATCGTGGAAATGCTATTATTTCTTGCATTCCAAAACTTTTTGAATCAATCGCAAACGGCAATATTTTTCAGCAGGTGAAAAATCTAATTACAAGTAAACAGCACGGCTTTTTTGAAGGTCGCTCAACTACCTCTAATCTTCTAAAATATGTATCTTTCATTATTAAAGCGTTGGACAGTGGCAAGCACGTTGAAGCGCTATACACCGACTTCAGTAAAGCATTTGACCGCTTCGACATACCATTATTAATCCTCAAATTTCAGAAAATAGAAATGGAGCCTGGACTTTTGAATTGGCTTCAATCATACCTAACACATCGCAAACAAATAGTCCGCTTTCAAAATAAACTTTCAGAACCAATTTCAGTCACCTCTGGGGTACCCCAGGGTTCTCACTTAGGCCCACTTCTTTTTATTTTGTACATAAACGACATTTCCTACATACTTAAAAAATAAAATTGCTTGTATATGCAGACGACATGAAACTCTTTATGGAAATAAGTAATTCTAGCGATGCAGAAGAATTCCAGAATGAAATCAATATATTCCACGCCTGGTGTAGTAAAAGTCTACTTCAACTGAACGTAAAAAAATGTACTGCTATAGCATTTAGCAGAAAAATTGAAACACCGCATATTGAAATATCATTAGGCAACCAAATAGTAGAAAAAAGCAAAATTGTAAGTGATCTAGATGTAATCCTAGACTCCAAACTAACTTTTATAGAACATTATAATACTATCATTAGTAAAGCAAACAGAATGCTAGGCTTCATCAAAAGGTTCAGTCATAATTCCGAAGACCCCCCAAGTAACATTGCAAGTTTTATCGAGGTTTTAAAGCATGCTACAAGTCTAAATCATGGTCTACACAACCCTCATAAAACCAAAATTGTTACTTGGGCCATACACTATTAAGCTATTATATACCACATATGCAAGGCCAATTCTGGAATACTGCCACCTAGTATGGAATCCATACATTTCCATACACGAAAAACGCATAGAATCTGTCCAAAAACAATTCCTTTTATATGCTTTACGTAAATTGAATAGGACTGCATTTCCATTACCATCTTATGAAGCGCGCTGAATGCTCATCAATATACAAACACTTAAGGAGCGCCGCCAATTTGTAATGCTTTTCTTCATCAACGACATTATTTCAATGCGCATAGATTCGGCAAAATTCTCGCACAATTAAACTTTTACACACCTTGTCGATATCTTAGAACACGGAATTTATTTTCAGAAAAATCGTACAGAACAAACAATGCAAAAAATAGCCCAATCAATCGAATGATGCGCCTATATAATTTGCATTGCGGAACTATTGACATCACTATGTCCAAGCAGCAAATAAAAACTAAGCTAAAACAGAATAGAATTAATGCATAGTATGTAAGTTAACATTGTAATAATCATTGTATGCAGTCTACACTGGCTTGACGAAATGGAAATAAACACATCGTAGGAAAATTTCATATTATTTTCTGCAATATATACGGCGCACGTTATTAACGCTGGATTTAAATTTAAGCGCAATATCGCATAAATCTTGAATATTGCATACAAACTTGTAAGCAATTTCGATGTTTATGCCAACTATAGCTCAAAATTATACGAAAGAAGATTTTAAGTTACAGAATTTCCAGAATTTATTTCTGTGTCGCTTATGTATCGCAAAAAATTACATAAATGTTTCACACGGTGCACTTTCCCGGTTGTAAACGGAACATGTTTGGCTGATTTGATTGTTGTGGAGGCCAATGTGGTCCTGGAAACTCAATATGACCAACATTTAATTATCAAGTGTTTTGATATGTCACATGATGTGTTTGGCACGTTTGACCCTTATACACCAAAACATATCTCCGGAATCAGTTGACCGATTCCAAAACTTTTCAATACCGATCCATGAGACCATGGTTCATTTGGCGGTTATTATACCTTATTCAGTTTAATGGTTGCCAAGAAACACGACTATCAAAATTTTGTAACACACACACACACACATACATGCATACATTTTCCGATATCTTTGAGCTGAGTCGAATGGTATATGATATTTGACCCTCCGGACCTCGGATCTAATGTTGGATATCCAAGCGGTATACCTAAATTCCCTTCATTGTATGAAGGGTAAACGATGAAATTAATGATAATTGAAATAGGGGGCAAAGATCGTCAATTTTTCTAGTGACGATGTCAAAAATAATTGTGTCAAAATCGCGTCAACTCTTTCAAAGACAGTGATTCTGGGAGCCTCATAGCCTAGTCAGTAAAGGCACGGCATTACCAAGCCGGAGGCGGCGGGTTCGATTCCTGGTCCGGTCGAGGGAATCTTTCGGGTTGGAAATTTTCTCGACTTCCCTGGGCATAGAGTATCATTGTGCTTGCCACGCAATATACAAATTCATGCATTGGTATTGGCATCGAAAGCTCTCAATTAATAACTGTGGAGGTGCATTTAGAACACTAAGTTGAGAGCACGCAATAAGCTAATATGCGCTAAGCAATAAGCTTGATATGCGAAAAAGAAGAAAAAGAAGAAAGATTCTAGGATAAACATCCAATTTTGTTTTGATTT